GTTCAGTGGCCTGTTTGCTGTCGAGATGGAGCCTTTAAAAATGTGTTTATTGCAGAGTTCAAACTCAAGGAAATGTGGCTGAGCCCCAATGGCACTATCCGAAACATCCTGGGTGGGACGGTGTTCAGAGAGCCAATCATCTGCAAGACAATCCCCAGGCTGGTGCCTGGCTGGACCAAAGCTATCATCATTGGACGTCACGCATTCGGAGATCAGTACAAGGCTACTGATATTGTGGTACCTGGCCCAGGAAAGGTTGGTGCAAGGAAGATAAATTGTTTGTATATCTTTGGCATGAAATTTGAATATACCTTCACCATGTCAAAACATTTCATTCACGTCTTATTGAGATCTGTATTTTATGTTCTAGGTGATAAAATTTGATCTGAGCTTTGAGTGAAGGAGGAGATGCAATGGACTGATATTAAAGAACAAATTTTATTGTGGATTCCCCAGTATCAGATTTCATCAAATCCATTCAGTAGTTTCAGATTCACAGAACATGACAATAGATGGACAGACATGATCTCCGAATTAACACAAAAATTATACACATTATGTGTAAAGAACATATAACTGAATTTATAATAACCAGTTCGTTGCATTTTTACAACTGTGCATTGAAACTGGAAAGAGATAATTTAAGGAAACCAAATGAAACAAAAGATGTACCACCACTGCACTAAATTCTGATCTATGTGTTGATAGGTGGAGCTGGTGTTCACACCTCAGGGTGGTGGGGAGAAGCAGAGGATGGAGGTGTATACCTTCAAGGGGCCAGGCGTGTCTATTGGAATGTTCAACACGGATGAATCTATTCAGGCTTTTGCACACTCCAGTCTGCAGGTAAAGCAGCTCAGTTGTAACAGACAGATGGAACATTTCTAGAACTGGCCTGAAGTTTCAGATTATGTAATCTCATTCTTAGACAAAAGAGAAGATGAACTGACCAATTAGATGTAGTGGAAGAGGCTGAAGTACAGATTAATACACAAAGGCAGTAATATATTTTTGGCGTGCAATTCCCAATGGTGTATGAAGTTTTGTGCTCCTTTGTATGTCCATTTTTGTGTGTATAAGAATGCTATTACGAACTCTTCGCTAAAGTTTACTGACAATCTGTCATTTCATGTTCAATGCCCAATGCTTCCTAATTTCATTCCAGCTGGCACTGCATAAGAAATGGCCGCTCTATCTGTCCACAAAGAACACTGTACTAAAAAAATATGATGGTCGTTTCAAGGATATTTTCCAGGAGATTTATGAAAGGTCAGTTTATTTTTCTATTGACTCTGGCTTGTTTGACTTAGGTGGAGCGTTTACCGAATATTGTACCATATTTCTTCACATAATTCATGGCTTCATTATCTGAGTAAGAAGGTGAAAATATTATGGATTTTTTAGCCATCAAGTAAGACCGTCCCCATTAAAATAATTAATAGCGCAAGAGATGAGCAGAGCCACAGTGCTCCTGAAGCTGATATTGATGATTTGTATACAGGGACTACAAGGAACAGTTTGAAGCCGCCAAAATCTGGTACGAGCATCGACTTATTGATGACATGGTTGCGCAGGCACTCAAGTCAAGTGGTGGTTTTGTGTGGGCTTGCAAGAACTACGACGGTGACGTGCAGTCTGACATTGTAGCGCAAGGATACGGTGTGTACTGAAGTTTGGCAAGCCTCAGTGAGAGAACTACTGGGGTTTGAAACATCACCTTCATTTTTCTGGTGTTACAGATTCTTCACAGATACTGTATTTTAGTTCTGTCAATCTAAAAACTATTTAGGCCTATGAGTTTTGACCCAAACCAATGAACAGCCTCCATTACAGTATATAAAGCCAGTCATTGACAGCATAGTCTCAAAAATAAAATCCTTTTATTTGGTGCAATGAAGTCTTCTCAGACGGTAAGTCATATATATGTGGGCATGAAGTTGTGGTTCAGGGCTGATGTTGGAAGCACAGTCAGTCTCCAAAACCTTGAATCACAACTCTGTTCCCACACACAGCTCATAAACCACGAAGACTTCATTGCTTTCAGTTGCCGTGCTTGAAATGTTACTTTTGTTCAGCGACCTTCATTTTTCTCTACCTAGTTACTATGTAACTGTAACCGGTTATTCATAGCACAAAAAGGAGTTTTATGTCTGCCACCTTTGTCGTAAATAACTGAACACTGATCAGTGATAATATATACTCATAAATAAATAATTTCATTACTTCAGTGAAGTTAGCACACTTTGGTAACGTCTTTCCCTCATTTTCCCTTTCTTTGCGCCTTTCTGGTTCACATGACTATTTGCAGAAATGGATTTACTATGTATATCAGAATGTACCTATATTGGGTGACCTTGGTATTTTTAAAGTTTGAAAAGGATCTCATCTTGATTCAGGTAAATACAGCAAATTGAGGTGTATGAATTATTTTGATCCCTAAGAGTGTTCCAAGTGTAGAACTGATTTATATATATTTTTATTTTCTTGTATAAACTAATTTCTGTCCCTTATAGGTTCACTTGGGCTCATGACATCAGTTCTGATGTGTCCCGATGGTAAAACAATCGAGTCCGAGGCAGCTCATGGCACAGTCACGAGACACTACAGGTGAGATGCTGCTGTGGTTATATGTAGCAAACTCTATGGGCTGTTTAAGCCATGTGTAACAGAACAGAAAATGGAGAAAAAATTATTTCAAATACATTTTGAAAATTCTGGGGATACTGTTAAAATGGATTTGAAAGAAATCCACTGTTAAGACAGGAACAGAATGGAACTGATTCTAGATAGGATCCAGTGGTTGGCTATTGGGCGCCGTCACAGTGAGGGATTTTTTCTTGAGTTGAACAACTTAAATGCTTCAGTGGTACAGGTTATATGTTTGAAGTCTGGGTCTCATTTCTACTTATTGTCATGTAAATAAGCAACACAGCAATGAAAACTTGAATATTCTAAAAGTTTCTGTAACACCAACCTTTATGTACAGGCAACACCAGAAGGGTCTTCCTACATCTACGAACCCCATCGCATCAATCTTCGCATGGACACGTGGCCTGTCACACAGAGCAAAGCTTGACAGTACACCCGAACTTGACAGGTAACTGAAAAATTTAATTAAGCACAAATGAGGTGGGTGTGTATGAGTAAAATTATGTAAATTGGATTTCTGATAGACATGTCCTGTTTTCCTGTTTGTGTACTCTTGCCTTCATCTGCATGTGAATGACTTGTTACTGTATTAATGTATGCTTAATATATTGTTACAAAGATCAAATTAACGAGGACTTAGATGGGTAGAACATACAGCATGCACAGAGAAATTCATAACTTTTGTCAGAAAACCTGAAAATGTAAGACCACATGAGTGAGAGACATAGGTATTAGATGGGAGGATAATATTAAGATGTATCTTAACATGTCAGGGTGTGGACTGGATTCAGCTGGCAGAGGAGAGGGACCAGTCACAGGCTCTTGTGAATGTAGCACTGACCCTTCAGGTTCCATAAGAGGCAGGCAATTTCTTGACCAGCGAAACAACTATCAGCTACTCATTAAAGACTGTGCTTGTGGTTATGGGTTCTAATTCTGAAAAGGACACAGATGTTTGTATGTTTCTTAATACCAACATTACACTCAGTTGGTTACTCTTCTATGCAACTTTAGGATTAACAGCAGTGTCACAGTCCCTGAATAAAATACTCAAAAAATATATGAATAAAAAGACAACGTCTGAAATGTGTGACAGCGTACGGTATTGTATGAATTAACGTTACAATTTATACGATAAATATGGCTGAATGGCTTGTCCTAGGAAAAGATATTTTAATGCAATACTTGAAAAACAATTATAAAGAGTTAGGTTACACATTCTTGACTATGGCATGTGGCTCTTGGTTTCTTGAAAAGGGTTAGACCAGCCCTCAGCCCTACAATACTGGAAATGAGCAATACATCTCTTTCATTGAAACTTTTAAATACAGTGAATTTGTCAGTTAAAGTTTCTCGGGGGAACTTTAAGTGGAGAGAAGGAAACAAGAAACACTGCATCTGGTTTCAAAATATCTCAGTTATTCACTTGACTCAAGTATATTTTGTTAGATGTGTGACAGGTGTCTTGGAATGTCTTCAAACATACAGCATATTTTAAAATAGCACTTCAGTACAGTTTTTAAGATCTAGTGTGTATTCAGTCATTACAATACAGTATTTGGAAATGTTTACCAATTCATAAAAATTATCTGCGTCTATTAAGCCATAACGAAACTGAATACATGCCAGTTTAAAAAATAAGGGTGCCATCAGAATTATGAAATGAATGGCTAGTAGCTTCTGTGTGCAAGTCACTGGTCTTCAACTTTACTTGGGTGAAGAACTGACACTGTAATGAAAATAAACTGAAAAATGCCACTTACCAAGTTGAACTGCCATTTAGCCTGTTGTTATGAAACCAGTTCGGTGAGTGTGCAGTTACGGTTTCAGTTCACAGTCCAGCTGGCACTTTTTCACTTCATAAAATTCAAACCGTCTCGTACTTTCGTAGGTTTGCGCTGAGCTTGGAAGAGGCATGTGTAGAATGTGTGGATAGTGGGAAGATGACCAAGGATCTTGCAGGATGCATACATGGACTTCCCAATGTCAAGGAGGGGATGTACCTCAACACCGACGACTTCCTGGAAGCAATTGCCGAGCAACTCAACAGGAAGGTATCTTCAAAATGATCAAGAGGACATTAGGCACACAGAGGATCATTCCAATGGAAACTAACTAGAGTCACAGGGAAATCTGTGTATTCACATAAATGTACAGTCATTAAAAGAGATCAGAATAAGTGGCTATTAACAACATTTAACTTAATAATAATTTATAAGTAATGTTATTTGTGTTTGTGTTCCTTTGAAGTTCTAGAAGTTCATTAAGAAGTCAACATAAAAGATCCTGGAGATCGCCTGGCCATATGTCTCAACATACAATTTATTATAATGAAAGTTTGGCATTAATTACTTCTCACACCTTCAGAGAAACATACTCTATCCAAACCGTATGCTCTACACAAAATAATTTTCTTTTACATAATTCTGTGTTTGTGACAGACTGTCAGATTACATCTTTACCTGTATAACAGCATTTAGTAATGAGAGTGCTACTTTGAAAAGGTTCGTGCTTGATAGAGCATTGCTACATAATGTCAGTGGGCTCTGTGTTCGGCACCAACAACCTTACTTTAAGTGTTCAGATGCCTCATCCAAGTCACATTCAGTACAGTACAGTACAAATAAGAAATTTCAGAGGTGTACTGTGTTCCATAACATGCACAGTATGCCATGACTTCCCCACAGCGGCTTCTAGAACCTCAAATAGGAAAGACTGTGAAGGTTCCCCCTGCAAGCAGTGGCAGTGCTGCCTGTCCATCCACGGTGACATACTTACACCAGTTAAAAGTAACTTCAAACACTAATAGCTCAGACATATAACAACATATCCAAAAAATAAATACTTTGAACAAAAAGTATAATAATGGTATTAACATTAAATCATCATCTTTGGTGCCAAATTATTGTTCATATAGATAAGGTATGTGCAACTTTGTCCCACCATTCAGTCAAATGTATGTGCATTTTGCCCCATGCGAAAGGTTTAAAGCGTCCGGTTTGCAAAGTATGGAAGCCCACTTTCTAGGAAGCTAACCCATCACTAAATACCTAGAATGCACTTATTCACAGTTTCAGTAATTAATATGATGAAGCCAGATCATGTTTCATGCATCCATATAGCCTTCCTCCTAGGAAATTCTGTTCAGATGGGAACTGAGAACCAGATTGTGGTTTTAAGGGGGAAAATAATTCCTGTACATACTTGTAAGCATCTGTGCACTCATGTTGTTTTACTGTAGGAAATTACAGGAAGTTTCAAATAGCACTTACACTGAATTACTCTCACAGTGAAAGAGTATGTTCTCCTAAATTGTAAACACATTATCTACAGCTTTAATGCAGTTAAAGTAGAACATAAATGTATGAAGTACAGACTGGTTCATAGTGACATCCAAACATGAGCAAAGAAGGGACAAAGTTGCATCTGTAAGTAATAAAATAAAGAGAGCTGCCATCACTGTGAAGAAATCACCTATCTTCCACTCCAATACACATGTCCCTTATGCCACACTTGAGAAGGAACAAACAAAGAGAAATGGGCAAAAACCAATGTCCACATCTTGAACACGCACTGACATAACTGTATGATTCATGTTTCTTACCAAATAAAACAACAGTTCAGTATTGTAATGTCACTGTTCTTGCAGTGCTGCATTTGGTTGTGCTCCACAATGCATTGAATGAGGGCAAGAAAATATTTGTGTTCTCAAATCAAATCTAAATAGGGTAAATTGCCAATGCTCACTCAACATACAAATGAGATAAGCACCTGAAGCCTGAAATTCTTTCATCCTGTCCACCCATCCAAAGTATAAACTTCAGTACCACACATTTATCACCAGTTTCATGTCATCAAAACAGAATTGTGGACTGTGAAATACTGAAACACGTTAAAATAAGAATATCTTCTGCATTCATTTTATGGCTGTGGATGAATTCCTGAAAACAACCAGATCTGTGTTTGAAGCAGGTACCAACAGCGAGCACTCTGCTATAGAATCTGCTGTGCACCGACACTACATGCCAGGTTCCATACAGTTCCATGGAACAATCATCCTTGAGAACCTAGTCGGGAAAAACCCCAGCTTTTATAAAACCCAAACAATCATGGCTGTGCCCCTAAGAGCCTGCTACAGGTCTGTACTCTAAGGCAGATGAAGACAGAGGACGCCCTCACATCCTGTTCCCTTTATGTAGGTCAGACTGTCCCCGTGCTGAATTACGCACCGCCTCAGCAGTGGATGGTGAGCTCTACAATGGCAAAGAGAAAAATTCCTGCCCCTGCCAGGAACCAAACCCCAGTTGTCCAGCCCAAAGGCAGTTACTTTATATTGATTCAACTATCCCAGTCTATTTCCATATATTTTTGTATGCATTTGATATCCCATGCCCCGCTCATCTCATCTACATTAGACCATGTTTCACAAAGGGAACAAATTACAAAACTTCTCACTGAGCAGTTTTTTCCAGCCTCCTATCACTTCATCCCCATTAGGTCCAAATATTCTCCTCGGCACCCATTCTCATTTCACGCCCACAGAAAATGGTGATGTATAAAACATTTATATGGGGGAGGAGTAGACTGGACCTGTCTCTGAAGTGGGAGCAGCTATCATATGAAGTCCACCATATTCCCAATGATGGGATAAAAGATGATAAATGACACTCGAGCACAGAAATGCTGGCTGCAGCCCACGAGTGTCAGCGGCCCCTTACCCTCAAACTACGGGTCTCTGTATGCACTGTACATATGCCAGACTACATCTTAAGTATTGACTTCAATGACAGATTGAAACACTGAGTTAGATTAGTGTCATATCACTGGTTCTTGTTAAGATAACTAGAATATGAGGACAGCAGGTGCATAAAAAAAGTGCAATCATGACCCAGATTATCCGTTTTGTAGCATTTAACTAAACTTCATACCATCTATTACCACCAAAGTTCACCACACAACAGCTGGGACATTGCCAAAGCAAGGGCAGTAGAACTGAGTTTCCCAGAGACATTTTAATGTTACCCAATGGTGAAGATGGCAGTTTTCTTTGATGCTGCACTGTACAGCCTGATAAATATTACTCCTCATCTTAGAGTAGGTTACTACCTTGATAGTAGAGGCAGTAAGCTCCTATGAAACATCACTTAATATCCAACAGACCAGAAGATGCAATATTGCAGAAGACAGCCATCTTGTCACTGTAAGAACCTGAAATCCTACTCAATGGTTTTTACAAACAAAATTTTCCCTTATATCCTCTGATCTTGTATTTCACTGTTATTCAAATATCCACAGGCATGGCACCATTTCTGAAGTTGGATCTGATAATTCATTATCATATGATAATTTACCCTATTCTAGAAAGAAATCCTGTGACTGTAATATTGAAATCATGAAATAGTTAACATCAGATTACACATTAGCTGCTTTCTGTTTTTCCACACCCATTTGTGTACACTTGAAGCAAAAATTAGTCTGAAAAATTGCTTTTTGATAGCTTCAGTTATAAAAGCTCTCATGCCAGACTGATGCACTTTCACATCATCAATACAGAAAGTTCATATCAAAATAGTACTTATATAAACAGTCTTATATCGTGCAAAACACACACCATGTGGTCCACAGAGGGCCCGTCCCTCACGTAACTGGCACAAATTATAGAACTGTTACAGACTGTAGCCAATGCAGTCTATTATTTCCATTGTCCTGCACTGTCCGTTAATCGGTGAATACCAGGATATCATGACGTGAAAACAGTCAACGTTTCATAATTTCAGAATCAGAGTTTCATCCTGTATATTTCTCCTGTTGTATGTGTCATGTGTCAGCCTTTCCAGACCCGAGATACTTGCAATAGTTTCTCTATTTGTTTGGTATTAAAATATGGAATTTAAATCTCACAGGGTTTTATTTTCAAAAAAGAGACAGCCATTTTGGAGTTATATCTGAATGTATCAATCCAATCCCTTATTATTGATTATAGCAACCTATTAGCAATGGATCTAACTGGTAAAATTTGGTTGAAATTTAGGACCAACCACTTTAGTTTATTTATACCGACATTCTCCCACGAAACTCTCTTGCAGTTTACTGCAGACTTCCTAGTTATTTATGGGATATGCAACTTTGTTGAGAAAGTGTTTTTATAAAATGGATATTACCATAACGATTACTCCTCAGCTTTTTGACAAGAAACTAATGAAACTCTTTATTAAACTAGGTGTGTGAAATTCTGTATCAACTTTTTTTATGCTTGGAATTTACGAACATGGCAGGGTCATAAATCCTCAAATTCATATGACACCTTTCAAGATATGTTACTATTAGAAATTTTCTGCAGAGCTAGGCAAGATGACAGGAAGAACTGGTTATACTCGACTTCCAAGGGAACTGAACATGTTTTATTTACCATGGTCAGCCTGTATCCGACACTGCACATGCACAGTACTAGCACAAAATTGTTTCTTTTTTACTTTTTCCATGCACAAATTCTTTCAAAAACAGAGCTTGCTTAATTGCTTCCCATTTATGATGAGAATTTTCCTTTCCTGGTGTATTCAGAAACAAATCTGTTATTAATTATTCATGGCCTGTACCTTGCTCCCTAACTCCCTAGGATAAAATTATGTGAACGAAAACAGTAAATATTCAGTCAGACAATTTTCCATTTGTCTTTCCATTAAACATATTCTGTTTATTATAGGTAATTTTACATCGGTGTTTACTCCCTATTCAGGTAGCAACATTTAAAGGCAGGAAGGCTTAACACAACTTACGGTTATTTGAAATGAATATGTATAATCACTGAAGATACATTAAATTATATAAACACTTATTTTCTAAATTTCATTTAAAATAAATCAATCTAACCACGGATGTTTTTACAAGGCAGGGCACCTGAGATTAGTTTCCCAAAATAAGACTAAGATTTACATGACATAACCTGTAATCTAGGACCAAGCTGGAATGTACATAATCCTCTCCAGCAGTGCCAGAATTGCCAACTATTCAATTCATCTCACTGTTTAATATTTTCTTCTTCCATACCTCCAAATGTCAGACCACGGTATCTGCATTTCCGTAACACAAGTCTTGATTAACAGTCGCATTGCAGCTTCCAAAGTTCGGACACGCGCATATTCAGGAATATTCGTAACTCCTTCGATTATTGCAATACGGATGATGAAAACCTTGACAGGTTATAAAAATATTTGGATAATATTTCACACTGAATTGTCAGTTATATATTGATAACAATGATCTGTCTATATAACACTGAGTCTAGTACAACTTCCCCTAAAGAAGATGAAGGCTGGAAAGATGCAGGGGTGACGTCTTAGCCGGACAAGATAGCAATAACAGAGTTCCTCAACTTCTGGCTGCTGTTACCAGTCAAAACACTGACCCCAAGTGACTAAATGTTCTTCATTCAACTCAGTGTAGGCCATGTGCCTAAACTTTTATCCATCCGCTCTCATATTTAACACTGAAAATGAACATTCAAAGCTCGAATTGCACACGTCATTTCTTCAAATCCGTATGATAGAGGTTAACTGTATTCATTACTGTCTGAAATTTAGCCATTTTTGAGTGTTGACATAATAAGTATGATGGAAGCAGTGTGATATCTGCTTTTATGTAACAGACTTCAGAACCCATTTCCATTAGTTCAGATCCTCACATAACTTCGACAACTGAACTTTCATTTCATCTGCTTAGTCCCATTACAGCACAAGAACTGACAAAAGAACCCCAACAGCTGGATTTTAAAGACAATATATATTGTGCCTTCAGGGTTTTCTGCAGCCTCAAAGGAATGCTTGCTCGCACCATAATCTGTAGTGGAGAAGCAGGCAGGGTACCATGCAAACAATCATAACTGAGTACTGGGAGAAGGACTCTCCCATACAAAGTAAATTACACAGGGGCATACCTTGACTCATATCACTTGAGGCTCATTATCAGCGTTGGTTGTGCCATTATTCATGAGCGATTTCTGACGAGTCAGAGTCACGTGACGTTCGTTCTCCCCTGCAAGTGGTGACTGCGGTGCTGACGAGTGCTGTTGCTGCTGGATGGCACTGACTACATTGCTGTTGTTGCACTGCAGCACGCTCGGATCCACTGACAACTGGCGCATCTTGGACTGTGGGCGGTTACCATGCGCGCCCTGATGCTGATTGTGACCCGCTCGAGTCGTGTTCCGCCGCACCGGGTTAGGAGTCGATCGTCCTGACAGGCGCATGCTGCTGAAATTGGACAGTCTGTTGTTGGTGTTGTTGCCTGCAGTCACTGCAGCTTCAACAGGCTTCTTCTGCTGTGACTTTGCTCTGCCAATCACACTGCTTCCAGCTGGGTAACATATGAAGTAAGCATAATTATGGCCTGGCAGATAACAGCACTTTGAAGTAAAATGTAATGGGTTGAATCAAGTAACTCTGTAATAATGGATCTTCCTTATAAATTGAAATTGCATTTATTCAATTTAATTGAATGAAAAAAAAGATTTTCAACATTAATTCTTAAAATTAAAAGTAATTACTGAACACATTATATATTAAACTCAAGGAGACTCCAAAATGACTTCAGGTGTTTTCAATGGTCCACATGATGTACTTATTACCATCGAGGCTTGACAAATGACGTTGCATCCCAATCTGAAGTTTGACCATCAAAAATGGTTATGAATATTTGTCTGCTCCATTATCAGTTTTTGGGTTATGAGCTTTCAGCTTCTGATGAACCTTTTGCTTTCTACACAGGAGCAGAGAGTAATAAATATCACCTCTCCAGATTGTAAGATTCAGCATCAAAATAACAGCAGTAAACTTCTCCACTGCCCATTTTCACATGAACTGTGTTCTTGGCAATTGCGATATCACTTTCTGTACTTCAACCTAATACTTATTGTCCAATCCACAATCAGTCTCTTAATAAACTAGCTCTACAAATCAGATTAGTTAAATGTTTTTTCATTCCAGTTCAGTTTATTCATTAACCCTGAATGTTACTCACGTGTAGTGGACTTCTTTACTGTCTGCCTGCGGCGAGCCTGCAACATGCCATACACGACAGTTGCCAGGCTGCTGTAAGTGCTAGGTTGACGCACGAAGCCCGGAGCATGACCGGCTCTGCGTCCCATCACGTAGTAAGTCTCCATGTCTCCCTTTCCCTTCACTGCCACTATGCCCCTCAGCTGCACCTGGTAACCCCGCTTCTCCAAAATCTGTGGTAAGCAACAGAGTTATGTAAGAACATGTCAATACACTGCGAAGCATCTCGTATAATAACGGTATTTATAGAGAAATGAATGTGCACATTAAATAGACAGTACATAAGCTGATGAAAAGTCACAGGAACGGTTTCTTAAGTCACTTAATGCAAACACATTCAGAACAATAAAATTATACAAACAACCTTTTTGTATTATTCATGACAAGGAAACTTTAATAGACATTTTATGTTTGATATATTATACAGAAACTTCTCGGTAAATTCTAGATCAAAATTATATCACAGCCCGCTCTTGTCTTGAAACTATTCTGTCAAATATTCCCGATAAAACGTAAAGTTTAAGCCTGTACATTTAATTTACTGCAATCCCTCCACAGCAGCTTCAGATCGTGATTCTCTATATTACAGACTAACACACGATAAAGTAACAATGACTGACTAGTTCTGCCTGGGCATAGAAGCTGCAGGGAAGGCAGTCTTACTTTCTGAATGGTGTTCTGGCAGTCTACATTTTATGCACCCACTGCAACAGAAAGTACAAGACACACACAAGTTCGTACCACAGATGTTTCTTTGGGGACCTGAATCTGACCCATGGTGCCAGTCGAGTCCATCCGAGATGCCTCGTTGACTGTGTTGCCCCAGATGTCATACACAGGCTTGCGTGCTCCGATCACTCCGCCCACTAGAGGACCACAGCTGATTCCTGTTGAAGTTTCATCTCATTAGCTCTAAGAGTCAGTGTCCACACAAACACACACACTCATTCTGATGTTCAAGACGAGAAAACTTACCAACTCTCAGGTAGAAGTTATTAAAGGAATGTTTGTTGACATCCTCAAGACGTGTCTTCATAGCAAGGGAAAAGTCCACCAGAGCACATACGTGCTCATACTCATCCTCCTGCACCTGCATCAGAAGGAACCAGTGCGTGACACAGACATTTGTGCGAATACAACACAGAGCAGCTAGCGGACAGGCCTTACATATATAGGATGGCGTGGCATAAACTGGATTCAGCTGGCTCAGGACAGGAACCAGTGGTGGGCTCTTGTGAACACAGTAATGAACCTTCAGGTTCCATAAAGTGTTGGGAACTTGGTTCCATGGAGTATGTATATGTAGAACATAACACTTCTACACACAAATACTTTGTAACCTCAACAGATGACAGTCTTCTCAAATAATTTATGAGCCATCAGTAAAATAATTAAGCATGAACACAGATAGTGACATATGTGATGAACTTAAGGTTGCGAACACACTTAAACCAAGAAGATAGAGACTAAATGTACTTAGACAGACAACAAAAGAGAACTTGAAATTGTGAAGGTGCAGAGTTAAAGTGAAAACAAATACCTTCTGGCTGGGATTCAGTCCTGATGCTGCCATATAAGTGGCTCCTACAGTCTTAACCTTCTCAATGCTCTTAAACCGTGGTTCATCCAACAGTTCATCAAAGTCAGCTGAAAGACAATGACACATTACTACGAACAGCAAAATCATGCCATCTTGTTGAACATCACAGGGAAATGACCCAACAGTCATACTGCTCTGGACACATCACATGCAAGGCTAATATTACGAACAAACACTTTCAGTACTATATAGTTCTTTTGACCTGCAATGGCCAACAATAGTCAGACTACAATGACCAGGAGATTAGCGACGTATTCCGCATGCTCAAACTGCTCTGGCTTTGAGAACGCAGAGGAAAGAGTAATTGAACAAAGCAAAATTTGTATAGACCAACCTGCTCTTGAACACAGCATGCTTCTTCTAATTTACCATGTATACATTTATGGCATCTGACATTTAAAGGTTCTTAGAAAAATGACTGAGTCAGTTAAAACCACTTCCCACAATCTCCCGAGAGCTCTTTTAACACTGTCCTCCCATCTCTGTCTCATGGATGGCATTTTTTGCAGTAAGTTTATTCAGAATTATGTGTATGTTTCTTGTTGCATGCATGTTTGGGCCACAAGTTATTTAACAGTTACGTCTCGACTGCAGACGAAACTTAGCACGAAATGAAATCAGAGGATGAGTGTGATAGGAACTGAGGAGGCAGGATGTGACCCAGGCAATTTACATCACCAAATCATCCAGACATCCACGACGTAATTATCTAGTAATGTCATCAGATGAAGAGTTCAAAGCACACCATTTATGTTCTCCAGTCAATTCATCTGTCTCTCATTAAAAGGACAGTGAGATGTATATTTCATAAATAATTATCATGTTACGTAAAACACTTTAGCATGACTTACCAATGATCTCATTTAGCAGCCGGATGCACTCCATTCCTTTGTTGATATCTTCCGAGTAGAACTCTGTGAAGTTTGGTATGCTAGCAAACATCACTCCGACTTTGTCACGAGACTGGGAGTAAAGCTCCTGGAGAACCAAACAAAATGTTGCCTGATTTTCTGATTTACATGCTGCTGCATTTATAAGGTGAACAGTCAACAAACTTATGTAACAAAATCTGTTCCTATCTGATGTAAACAGCAGTATTTTTAATTTAAATCTTCAATCACTGAATATTTAGCAAGATAAGCATAAAAGTGCATGTACAGATATTTCTATAATAAAAGCTTCGGGTTCAAGGCAAGTCAGATCCGACGCAGTTTTTCTGCATGTCTTTCCAACTCTTTCCTTCTACTGTCATTCGCTGGTCCACCTTCATCAACACCTAGTAACAGGGTCTCACTGTATGGACGATCCCATTGATCAGTGCTGCACGGCCACAGACGAGTAACAACAAATCATAATTCCAAATATGAACCCGGTTTGAAACCACGTACCTCAGTTGGTCGATCCTCTCCCAGGAAATGATGTGCCACGTGGTCTGGCAAAATGTTCTTGAGAAGCTGAGTGTTGTTGGCTCGCGTCTCCATCATATCCGCCAACTCTCGCTCCGCCTGCTGTTTCCACAAGAAGTCCAATCGAGATGTCACCTCCACCAAACGAGCATGGTACGTCACCATGGTCAGGAACACAACCAGCAGCAGCACCATGATGGCTGATTTTGGGATCACCTCTTTGCTGAAAGAAATTACAGAAAGAATACATACTTGGCAACTGAAAATGTGTTTCAAAGCTTCAATACTAATTCCTTACTATACACACCCATGTTTCAGATTTCTGAACAGTAGAAATAAAACAAAAACTCTAAAATTGTTCCGTCCCTATTATGTTAAGATACTTCACAAAGTAATGCCTAATACTTTGAATTTACACTTAAGCCAGAAAGAGAAACCTCAAATGGGTCATCCTGATCACGTACAGTACGCATACTGCAACTGCAGACATATTCTCTTATTCTCAGATTACAAAGTAACACTGCATGGAGTACAGAGGTAGAATTAAATGTGACGATGATCATAAATTGTACCAAAGAAAGCCTGTTCTCTGGTCAAGACTGGAACCAGGTACCTCTAAGATACAATTCTGACATGTTATTGTTGAAATGTAAATGCAGTTACAGTCAAACCAAGAAATAAGAACGACCTAACAAGCAAAACAGTTAAAACCAAGAGCAGAAAACAGAGACATACACAGAATGGAAAGCAGCAGACAGCACATGACATATGACAAGGAACCACACAAGTGAATGAATATAAATTTTGAGACCAAAAAGGTCCTCACAAATATTGGAAGAGGACACCAATACATGCAGACGGGACACAGAATAAAATGGAATGAGATCAATATCCAAGACAAAGCGGAAAAGATTTAGACAGCAAGTACACCCTTATACTCACTCCTTATCGAAGACTTCTCTGTAGGCCAGAAGAATGAGGGTGGTGAAGACGGAGACCATGACAGTGGCCAGGGTGGTCTTTACGAGATAATAGAGTTTGAGAGCAGTAGCCAGTGCCACCAGGCACAGCACCCACGTGTACACAATGTACTCTGGAGCAAGGCACTGCTCGGATTCCCTGCCATCATTGGTATCCAGTGTGTGGGCATCAGGATGGCCAACATGCTCTGAAACTGAGTTGCCTTCAGTGGTAGTGATGGTAGCAGCACTGTCAACATTCTCAACTTCTGTAGCCCTCTTGTGTCGCCTCTGCACCAAAACACTGCTGATGTTGGCAGTACTATTCAACAACGCTCTCTCCTGTACTCCACTCTTATCCGTGACACTGTACGCTTCTCTGAATCTTTTACCTTGACCTGTTAGACTTTTCCACACATTTTCAAAATAATTTGTAATATTATTGAGTAGTGCCAATTTATGGGTCCCCAAGTCTGATGCATTCTTTGTACTATTATCATTAATTACATTAACATCTGACGTCGTAATGATCACACCTTTTCCTTTGGTACTCTCACTTACTTCTGTGTTTACAGAGATGACATTGACATGCGTTCCATTTGCCTCATCTCTTGTTCCATGTGACTGGTAGAGATTCCAGACACTTCTATTTCTGTGATCAAACTGACCACTCATATTGTCGGAATCACCAACAGTGCTTAATCCTTTTGGCTCCAGTGACATTGTGCCCACACCAGCACCAGTTCGTGTAGTCCTCTCAGTTAAGAAATCAGAATTAGACGTTTTCTTATTTGCGATCACTTTGTTCCTAATACCAAGACTTGGCACACTTCTTTTCCAAGTCCTTGTATTTGCTGGTTGGTCACCAAGACTCACATTTTGTGCCGCAGAATTAGAAGGGAGTAATGTTGAATTGCACCGAGACATGTTTGGTGCACAGTCTGGCAGTAACACCCGGCTTGCAGACACGGGATATTCTCTGGATGACGAGATGGATCTGTATTCTCGAGCGGTTACTGTCAAGAGGAATGACAAGATTACCTCACCCACGGA